AGAAAAACTCAAAAAATTTCCAAAAATTTTTCGAATTTCGAAAAAACCGGAATATATGTGATAGTCCCTGCGCTCTTCGATATACATACCAAATTTTAGATCGATATCTCTTTTTTTGGCCAAGTTATAGCGAAAAAACTGTTAAAAATTGATGACGTCAAATTTTTGAACTCAATTTTTAGCAATTCTAGACCTCGTAGCGCAAAACGGAGACCACCATTGAACTCCCCGTGACGAGCTGCATCGAATCGATACCCATTTTATGCAAAAATATCAACTTTGAAATTTGACCTAATTTGACCTGACCTTGACCTGACCTTGACCTGACCTTGACCAAAACATGACCTAAGCTGGCCCTAAAGTCTGTCTGACCCACATAATCGCATTTGTCATGTAAAATGGACCATAAAACATGTATCACACGACACTTTCATATTGTGACCCCCCAGTGACCTGACCTCTGTGACCTGACCTGGTATCAGTGACCTCAAATAGCAAAATATGTGTTTGAAGAACATTTCCCCATCGATGATTTTCAATGAAATGCATTTTACACGATTTTACAACGCATTTCTTGAAATGCCTGTAAACGGTGAAAATTCGACCTTTGACCTGACCTGTGACGTCATCGGTTTGACCGAGGTCAATGAAATTGGGTCACAAGGTAGTTCCCTGTTGGGGCTATCCAACACCGTTTACCGCTTGTCGCTATGTTGCGTGGTTCTCGAGATCTGAGGGGGGGCCAAAATGGCCCCCCCCCCCATCAGACCGCGTTGCTCGGCAGACCCCATCTGGGCGCGGGTTAAAGATTAGCGGCCGATTTTATAAAAGGGCGCAAAACGACTGACGCATTGTCCCACCCTTTCCGCTGGATTTTACACACAAACGGTTTCATAAAGCGATTTCAGACAATAGCCGTTTTCACGAGGGGCTATCTGGCTCAATCCCCTAGTTGAACATGTTCGGTGACCCTTAACCCTCGCCCGTATAGGGGGGGGGGGGTCGAACGCCCCCCCCCCTCGGTTTTTCGCGAATAACTCGCGAAAAAGAGGCCGATCGCGACGAAACTTTCAGTACCCTCGAGTTTATCAATTGTACACCTACCCTGAAAATTTCATGACCCTGACCCAAATGACCTTTGACCTGTGACCTACTTTTCGAGACCATGTTTGGCCGGAATCGCGATTCGGCGTATGTCGGCTCGCATTAGCGGCGCGTTTACAGTCTTTTCGTGGTTTCAAGCGTTCAAACATCTGAAATGATGTTGGTTCCATGCATTAGGGTGGGTGTCAAGGTCACCTGAAGGTCAGGCCAGGTCATTGACCTTTGATGACCTCGGTTCACTTTTTCGAGTTTTACATATTTCTAGGCCAGTTTTTGGAGCTGAATTCGAATTTAACAACCATATGAACGTTTACGAAGTAGTTTTGGTGAATTCGTAACATGGTACGAAGCTGTCAGAGGCGGTTGCCACCTACTACGAATACCCTTACTGGTTGACCTGACCTGACCTGACCCGACCTGGCCTAAATGCATGAAGACATCATCTGTGATAAAAACTAACATGATACCTATTAGTGATCAGCACCTCGAAAAAAACCATAGCAGCCACGCTTTACGACTTTCTAACAGGTCCCGATTTTCCCGACTTTTGGGTCATTGAGCTGACCTGGAAGGTCAACCGATGACCTAGGACCTTAAAATTGGGTATTATCGGCTTCCTCTTGTGACGGGCAACACGCTCGTTTTTTCGCGAAGCTCTAGCTCGATCAGGGGCGAAACGGCAAGGGGGGGGGGGTCCAACGAACCCCCCCCCCCCTTATACGTTCGTGGTTGAAAAAAACACCAATACGGGCGAGGGTTAAACTAAGCAGCCCTCCCTCGGCTTCAGTCGGGCTTGATGGCACCACCGCACTTTGTATCGGTAGCTACTTTCGACAAGAGAGTACATACTTGTATTATGTATGGTATATGCACATAAAAACATATATTAATCGGCAGTGAAAAGCAAGTTGCTTATTGCTACAGCAACTTGCATAATGCTTTGCATATGGATATGCATCGGGATAATGGATAGTTTCGGTAAAAAATCAAAGTGCGATAGGATTTCTACCATGACCACGTGAGCAGCATTGTCAGTCAAAACATGGATCCAGTTCCCAGCTCACGGATCAGACCAGTTGCTACCTGGCATCGGATGTCACCGACCGATTCATACAGCCCTCTTCGACCCCTTTGAACCGGAAGTCCCGGGTCACTCGTCTGTCGGGCCGACCAGCGCACGGCGGCGGCGTCGACCTCACACGCTGAGGCAGCGACCCGGGGTCTGTATCAGCAGCTCGGTACAACTCCCACAGCCCGTCCCCGGCGGTCCGTAAGTCGTGCAGCACCTGTCACTGACGGCACGGCGCGCTGACGGGTACGTTACGGTGCGCGCTGACGGGTACGTTACGGTCCGTAACGTACCCGTCAGCGCGCCGTGCCGTGAGTGGCAGGTGCTGCACGGGGCGCGTGCCCGCGCGGTGTCCGGTGGCCGCTGGGGACGGCGCCGCCGGCCGCTAACTGTGCAGACCGGCGCCATCCATACCGGGCGCCAGGGGTGCCGTCCGCCGAGCGGCGGGTTGTTTTACGAGCTGTGACGACTGACGGCTGCGAATGTAATGTGAAAATGATCCGGCCAATCTCCGGTGTTCTGCGTCCTCTGAATTAGTGGGAAAGGCACGGGGCAACTGCGTCCTGGATTGATGAAAGTGAGTAATAGACTGAATGTTCCTTACGGTCCAATCCCATTTCACCAAAAATGTCAGTTAAGGCTTAGGTATTTGCACTTATGTTGTTAACCTCAAATGACCTTGTATGAACCATTGAGCACGTTGGTATTGGTACATCTATGGCTCCGATCTCGAGTCTTGCTCTTGCCAACCAGAGACTTTAAAGCTGAAGTGATCATTGATGTGTCCGAAGGTTGAACACGAAACAGTAGCAAATTTCGGCTAGCCGTTTGTTGGAGATATATACGAAATCCTGATGTTTAGGAAAACCGTTAGGCTACAGCCTACAACTCCCTGGTGAGGCGAGGGCGAGGGAATGTCGCACTATGTTGATTCATGGATGACAGGTCACTATCTACATATTCCGAATATTAATTTTATTGCAACGCAATTATTCATACTGCGTTGGATTAACCCGCGCGGGGCTGGGGGGGGTAAATTTTACCCCCCCTCGCGAATTTTTGCGATATCTCAAAAACGGCGGCGCGCAGCGCCGCCAAACTTTCAGTACCTTTTCTTACATCAATTTGACACGTTCCCTGAAAATTTGAGCGAAATCCGTCGGAAAATTTTTGAGAAATTGACGTTTTAGTGACGTCATGTTCGCCATTTTCGCCTCAAAAACGGCAAAAGTTCAAACGCCGCTAACATCTTCATTTTTAAAGGAATCAAGACGTAACAAAAAAGGATATACGTAATTTTACTTTGTCTATCAAATGGCTATCTCGGTTTTTTGAAAATTTTGGATTTTGGCCTAAATTTTTCCAAAAAACTGACTTTTTTGGGAAAATCATTACAAAATCCAAAATTTTGAGTCTATCGAAAAAACCGGAATATATGTCAGAGAAGTGGTCTATGTGCACCTACATACCAAATTTTAGAAGAATCGGTTCAAAAATGTGGGAGTTATTCAAAATTTTATGACGTCACGACACACAAAATTTTTGAAAAATGACTTTTTTGGAAGTTCTAGAACTCGTACGGAAACAAAAATAGCACCATTCGATTCGCCGTGAAAAACTGCATCAGATAGACACCTTTTTAGGCCTTAACAACCAACTTCAAAATTTGACCTCACTTGACCTGACCTTGACCTCACCTCGACCTGAAATTCATCCAGAGGTGGTCCATATCACTTATTTAGTGTGCCTATTGAACTCTATGAGTAAAATGACCCATAAAACATGTGTCGCACATGCCCTTTTCTATATTTTGTTTTTGGTGACCTGACCTGACCTGACCTTGACCTTGACCTCTGAATGATATTGTATGCAACGAACATTGTCTTGGTAGCCTAAGAACACGTTTTGGGCAATCAGTCTCACTCCATGACTCCATTCTTCGGCAACTACGGTGCAAGGCCGATACTGTAGGAACTTGCAATTTGTACCCTTGACCTGACCTTGACCTTGACCTCAAACTTTAAATTAAGTACATGTTTTTAGTTGTTCGTGATGAGATCTTTTGATTGGCGTTTGAATTTTCCAAATCGGACCATTAGTTCGGGAGATAACAGGGGGGGGGGTAAAATTTACCCCCCCCCCAGCCCCGCGCGTTCGGCTGGAGACCCCAGCCCCGCGCGGGTTAAAATAAATGAGCCAAGCGCGTGTCAAGCGGTCGTGTCGAGGGCCCCAGTTACTGCGCAGTGAGCACTGCATAGCTGATACACATCCCATTCAATCGTTATCTGGTCATATTCATCAGGAATTCTGGTCCAGGTCAAATAGCGTTTAGATAATTTCATTCCAGCTGATCCCGAGGCTGGAGCAAGTAGCAACGAACAACTCACAAGGAGGGACGAAAGTACGACTCATCTGGTCCACTTAAACTAACAAGAACATGTCGACTCTTACAGCCAAGCAGCTCACATAATCGGATCACCGAGCTACTAGACAGAGCTCCAACAGCCGACGTCTCGACACTCGACAGACCAACCGCCTCGCTCGGCGGAAATACGGTGAACCCGAGATCGTCACAGGCCAGCTGCCACCTGGAAAACCGAGATTGATGGTTGGCATGACGCCTGAGCAGTGGGATCTAGTAACAGCTAAGTAGGATGCTCCGTTAGCGTCTCAAAAGTTTGGGCGACAGCTGGATTGTTCGAGATTTATGGCGCCCTTCTGGCAGTTTGCACGACGCGGAATTATGTTATTATTCGTGTTACATTTTGCTACTTCAAATCAAAACTTTGCTTTTCATAGACCGTTCCCTTTACTAGAAAGATCGTAAGAGTTTGAAGAGGTTTATTTAGAAAAAGATCGCCGGACGCCCCCAGAACAGACACTGCTAACAGCAATTTCCGGAATGGCCCGTGCGAACAGCAGTTTGTAATCACCGTGTGGTTCATTTTATTCAAACATCGCTTCACACAGACACGATGTAAAAAGTAACAGAAACATCAGCCCCACTGAATCTATTGCAGAATTCGTCAGATATTACATAAATACCTGTCTCTCACCAACATAAGAACGCAACAAAGGCGACAATCACGTCTCACGGCACCAGTATTCTCAAATAACACTCGCGCCCCACAACCAATCGGGCACACGATCGTTTCCAAACGCACCTCTCTCCCCCGAACGCATCTCTTTTCATCTATCCTCACACCGTTTGGGTGTTCAGTTCACCTCGCAGGAGCCCGGCCGGCCCGGCAGCCACGCAGGACGGGTCCTCCGACCTCAGGGTCTTTATGCCTGCAGCGTCGACCTCGTGGAGAAGGCCACGTAGAACACCACGGAGGCCAGCAGTGCCGCCATGAACTCTGAGTTGACCAGAGGCCCGGTGTAGGCGCCCTACGGCAGGGGGAGGGTGTCCGGTCAGCGGGGTGAGGGGTCGGACCACACAGGGAGAGCAGGGCCGTTTGACGGTCCGGCAGGGCGGGCTGCGTCATCAGTGGGTAACCGGAGCCAGAGCGGCGTGACGCAGCGATCCAGACAGGAGCATCAGGCTGGTCTGTCATTAGTCGTGGCGCCTCGCTCGGAGCATGATTGAGTTTTAGAAGACGGCCAGCGAAATGAGTGACTGGTCATTGCCGAAGCAAATGACCAAGCGCAGTGTTAACAACGCAAGAGAAAAACAGATGCACACAATGCGCATTTTTCAACTACGCTCTACAAAGACAGACGCAGTTGGCCGGTTGTACAGCTTCCGCGCCGCTGTAAGGCGATCCGACTGTGTCCCTGGCCGGGGACACATTAGAGCGGACTGGGTGGCCATTAGCGGCCGCCAGCAGACGGCTAACGGTCCGCCGGCGAGACTGGGGGCCGCCGTCTGGCGCGTGCGCCCGTCGCCGTTACACCGGTCACGGCGAGTGATGTCAGTCCACGGCCGGCGGCGTCATCCAGCGGCCGGGCAGAGTCCGCGCGGCCGGCCTCGGAGAGCTACAGGGGCCGCCCGGGTGGTGTCCGATGCCACGACCGGCTCACATGACCCACTTAGTTACATACGGCTCAGTGACGGCCCGAGCGGTCCTCGCTGACAAACCGACATCCGCTAGGAGCCGACCATGTGCTCAGAGACAGTCCCGGGCACTACGAGCACGTGCTCTAAGATAATTCCGGGGCTTAACCCTCGCCGGACCTATTGGTTTTCTACATACGCGCCAGCCGAGGGGGGGGGGGGGGGGCGGGTACGACCCCCCTCGCCGTTTCGCCCCTGGTGGAGCTAGCGCGTCGCGAAAAAAAACGAGCGTGTGCGCCGTTACGAGACGCAGAGATTGGTACCCGATTTTAAGGTCCTAGGTCAATCGGTGACCTCTGAGGTCAGGTCAAGTGCCCCAAGGTACGGTTCAGTTTTGGGTGAATAACTTCGCAAAAAACGGCCGCAGAGCCACGATTTTGGCAGTATCGTGTTCGCCTCGCTCAGGCGCGTCGAATGATATACTTTTTGTCCAGGTCAGGTCAACTTGGGGTGTTGACCTCAGGTCAAGGTCAGGTCGGCACCCCCAGGTCACGAAGTTGGTCGAAAGAGGTCATGTCGCATATCATTCGATTCGGCAGGTCTTCCTGAGTCCATTGGTGGCTTTCCCGACTAGCTAGCTCAATTTGATCAAGAGTTATTGACAAAAAACTAATACGGTCATACGCAAGGTCAACATTGCAAAAATGACGCATCTAACCTTGCAAGGAGTGCATCAAATCACGATTCTGTGTGCTTGAGATAGTTGGAGATCGTTCACGGCGCCAGAATAGCAGTTTTCATGTTTCCCCATTGACTTATAATGGTTAGGGCTGATAATCCCGGGATCGGGATCCCGGGATCCCGGGATTGTATTAATCCCGAATCCCGGGATTAGAAGCATCGGGATTTCGGGATCCCGATATTTTCCGTACAGAAACATCGTTCATAAAGTGTAGCTGATAGTAGGTATGTAAAAAAAGGTAAGTGAGTAACAACGCATTACAGTGCAGTTTTATGTCCAAAGATCTTACTTACGCCGTGCAAAGTCGTTATGCACAAGTATTGGTTACATATATACCTAATTGACATTGTTTCACACCGTCTCAGCCTTCACAATGTGGCGAGAGACGAGCTCTCTCTCGGCTCATCTCTCGCTCCCCGCGACGTCCCTCGCGTACTCGGTTTAACAGATCATTTTGCACGATGACATACTATGCCGACTATCGAATTCGAGTCCATCGAGTGGGAGGAGGTCGGCCGTCTTCTCTGTGTGACTGTGGGAGCACGTCTGGTGGCTCAGTTACTGTCAGTGCCCCGTGGCTGGACGATCCATGAGGCTGGCCGGGCGCCCTGGGCATGGTTACCGTTAGTGAGTAATTATTAATTACGTGCCTTTGTGATAAGCTATAGCTAACTTTGCCAAAATGTCGGATTTTGCTGAATTTAATTGCATGTAAACTGCATGTAAACGCGATTGCATGTAAACTGTCTGATGCGTTGAAACAGCGCATCCGACAGAGACGGTCACGTGCTGCTAAAGTCCTACAATCGCTCCATAACAAAATGTCGGCAGACAGAGACTGGAAAGATATTTTTCCTAGTGCCTCTCGCAAGGAAGCACAGGACTTAGTTGTCCACATGATGGAAAGATTGGGAGAACAGATGCATGATACCGAAGTAGGTGTAGATACAGAAGTGATGGACGCTGATGATCCTGAATCAGCGCCGTCTCTTCAGTCGATGCTTCAACAAGCTCTAGATGAGGTTAGAGCTCCAGAGCAAGGCACCAGTTCATGCCCGTCTGGGATTAACTTTTAGCAATCTTCTCTGATGATGACGAAGGCCATAAGGAAAGAATTGGAAAATTTACCTATCTCAGGAAGGACAGGCATGGTAGCGCTGTCCTACAACTGGCTGAAGGGCATAGTTCCTACGAGTGTTGAATCGGAACGAGTGTTTTCCACTGTCGGGAATATCGTCACAAAAGTGCGGTCGAGTCTCGGCGACGAAGTCGTTGATGCACTTTGCTTCCTCAAGTGCTACTACCGTAACAAGTGAATGTGACCAGGACATGTGCTGGTCAGACGACCACAATCCGTAGGCACGTCTACTGTATCCTGACTCGAAATATAAACAAGAAATACAATGATCAATGTCATTCATGCTCTTATATTTGTTCGGGGTGAAGGTGTATGCCTGGTATTGTGTTTATGATGGTAAGGATGCGCCATATACATACGATATTGCAAGAAAATTCTGCTTTGTAGACAGGTTAAAATAAAAACTGCTCAATCCCGGGATCCCGGGATATCCCGGGATTGCATTTCTAAAATCCCGGGATCCCGGGATTGCCAAAAAGTCCCGGGATTATCAGCCCTAATAATGGTAAAGTCACAAAAATGACCTGACCACATATGACCTTTAGGAAAAAAACCGAGATATACAAGTTGTGAGACTCATAATGGATACTAGATCCTGCAAGTTTCATTTCCCTGTGACATCTCCTCTGGCAGTGAGGGCGTTGCGAAGTTGCGACATCTGAAGACCGTGCAGAGGTTCACTTATGACGTCATAGGTCAGTGACCTGACCTGACCCAAAAATGCGGTTGGTGTCAAAAGATCCGGCTTGAATCAAAGGTCAGGTATGCTAAGTTTCAGCTCTCTATCGCCAGCGTGTTCGGAGCTATCGCGAAAAAACCCTGGGGGGGGGGCGGCACCCGCCCCCCCCCCTCGGCCGGCGAGTGTTAAAACACGCGCTCTGAGACAATACCGGGGCACTACAGACATGTGCTCTGAGACTGCCCCGGATACTACAGACATGTGCTCCGAGTCAGTCCTGGGCACTAGACGCCGGTACATTGCTCTGAGACAGTGTGAGTACTGAAGACAATGATCTACATAGTCCCGGGCAAAACGGATGTGTACCCTGTTTATGTCGGTGCCGTGCACTACAGACATGTGCCACTTACGGACATAGTAGGGTAAGGGCGGGTAAGAGTACGCGGGCGATAAGAGTACGCATCAGCTGTTTCGGTTGCTTAGCAACGCGGGTTTGTCGAGTTCATGAAGTGACATGAAGCCGCCAGTACGTGCATGTCACCAACGGAACTTGGGCGTTGAGCGGCGACGCTGTTGAGTTTAAGGCGATGAATATTATTTTCGAGCGTTATGATATTATTATGATATGGTACAATAATTTTGATACTTGGCAGTTGAGATAAGGTACATTTCCGTGATTGTTGTGGGAAACTTGTGAAGTTATCTGGGGAAATACTGTACAGTGCAATATTCTGTTTGCGAAGTTTTGCACAACGTTTCGGGGTTGTTTTGTGCGCGAATTGCATGTACGGTAAGAGGACGCACTGTTCAGGAGGGTAAGAGTACGCAGAATTATACATTAAATCGAATATACAGAAATATAGAATTATTAATCTTTCGCTCAATGACGTTTGTTTTGTAGGTATATCATCAATGGAGCACTGTGATGCAGATGCGTACCCGAAATTCTTCCAAATACGAGTTATTCTCCTTTTTGATCGTGCATTTTTTTAAGAAACACACGACATGATTATTTCCTGATTTATAGACTTGAAAGATTTATTTTGTTTTTCCTTTTGGATACTAGAATTAACTTAAACGCCTTCTGAGTTTGAAGTTAAGCATTTGGACAGTGCAAGCTGCATAGGTGTGTGTTCATATGCTTGCGTACTCCACCCGCCTGGCGTGCGTACTCTTACACACCCCATATGGTAAGAGTACGCAAGTGCAACGGTTCAGAAAATGTCAGTTTTAGACCACTTCCATTTACGCTGAAGGATCGTTGCCCCATGGGTTGATGGCTAATTCAATGAACTTTAATATTCCCTATTTGCGATTTCTTTCCTTCAAATATTAAACAAATGAGAGCAAGAAATCCACTAAGTGCGTACTCTTATACGACTTCACCCTATGGCCAAACACGCAGTTTGGATACTAAAGATCTAACCTAAGTCCGTTCACTCAGATTTCCTCCGAAGCACAGCAATAATTCTTCATATATGACGTGTTCTGGTGCATGCCTGAGAGCGAATTTACCCTCCGCAAACAATGTAGAACATTGCAGAATCGAGGGAAGTGCGTACCTACTGACATTGTCAGGAAAGTATCACGAGGCACTCCAGTGTCATTTCTCAAACAACAGTTTGCAATCAGACGCGACTCACCGGGTGGTTGACAATGATGGTCGCCATGGGCTTCACAGAGCTGATGGGCTCATCCGAACGCTGAGCCTGCGATGAAACAAACGACTGGTGTCAGAAATTCAGGGCGAACGAGGCTGGTCTATCATCATGCAAGCAACCTCCAAATAGGGTGTACTTCCCTTGACCACATACGGACAATACCTAGAGGCTAGGCCATCATTTCAGATAATTCGACACAAAATGTCGCAGCATATCACTGCAGCACACTAAGAATGACGGTGAAAAGCACTACTTCTCAACATTTCACACAGTATCAAGCGGGCATTAAACAGAAAGTCCATCCTCCGGCAGCCTGACTCGTCTGCCCCATCGCGCACACCCGATACTCGGAAGAGCTCACCTTGCGTACGGCCGCGTAGCCGACATCGTCATAGAGACCGATGGCGTGGTCGCCGGTGGTCGCCTTGGCTACCTCCTCGGTCCAGCTGACCTGGTAGGTGGCGCCATCAGCGGAGCGCGCCACTGGCACCAGCCGGTCGCCGATGGCCGCGTACAGGCTCACACCCTGAGCGGACGGGGCGGTACGGGAGGGTCAGACGGCTGCTCGCGGGAGGGGAGGGCTGTACTCATCAGTGGTACCGGTACCGAACTCGGGTGTGCAATGTCCCGGGCCGGTTCTTGATGTAAAAGGACTTTGAGTTGAGTTGAGTTTGACTTGATCAGGATGAAGTGCAATACACATGTTAAAATTAAGAAATCTTAATTGAACAAGGAGTTCATAAACATACCAATAGATGCTTACGCATGAAAATGAGAGTTGAACAATGCAAAAAAAAAAATATAAGTAGGAGCAGTTTATGCTAGCAACAGAGCCTACGAACAGAGCAGCCAGCACCCAAAGGGAGGAGAGGCACATACCGTGACACCGTTGGCGCACGTGAGCGAGAATGTGGCGATATAGGCGATGTTGGTGACAATAGTGGCATCCTGTGACGTGTATGATTCTGCCTTGATCTGAGGGTTCTGACACGCATCACTGGCTGAAATACGAAGGTACAAATGAGTTCATTAAAAATAGTGCTACACAATACGCATTTAGAGACAAATATAGCTTTTACAAGGGCTCTGTTCCCAAGGCTTGTCAAAAAAGGAGGAGTTTGGATGAGCTTTGAGGAGAGCTGTTTTCAAGTAGCCACAGGAACATTTCTGCAGGAAAATCAGCTGTTTGCGGGCCATACAGAAGATGACCTATGGCACACCAATATCGATCTTGAGACAAACATTTTTTTTTTCAATTCAAACACTGATGGAAAAATAAGAAACTAGTATTCAAAAATACCTTACAATCCCCAATTCCCACTTACACTTATGCAAAACAATACATTTATAAACAATTAACATAGTATGATGCATGCCTAAGTCCACTAGGCTAACCTCATCCAAAAATTAAAGCTTCATTTGAGCTGAAGAAGGAGAATCATGGTAGTGAGATGAGTGATTGGGATGAGCTTAGAGGAGCTTGGATGAGTTCTGAGAATGATTACTTATAAGGAGAGGTTAGAGGTGCTTAGAGAAGGTTGGAACAGCCATGAAAACAGCCCCTATCATATGTTTGTTTGTTTGTTTATAGGGACTTAAGGGCGCGCCGACTACAAGGTCATTTTGCGCCCATGGTTCCCTATCATATGAATAAAGTGTACAAGATAATTCACTGAGGCCACATCAACAATGCTGCAATTAGCACTTTGGGCATCATTCTACAACAAATAGGTAGGCAATTAGTGCACAGCGTGAGTCATTTACAGTCAAGATAGGTATTCAAAAATAAAATTGATGCTGCAAATATTAACTTATCTTAATCAACTGCCTACAGAAAAATAGCTATCCTGCTATTGTTCATTGAAAAAATGCAAAGGGAAAGATCAGCAAATAGGCAACAAATTATGGTACATATTCAACTTCATCATCATGCCATGGATGAAGTATTCCTGGATAGGACACTCCCTATTCCCCAACACTAGCGCCGGCGACCAAGCGGCCGCCCTGGTGGCGGAGCTCCGAAACATCGGCGGCGAGTGCGCCGGCGGCCGCCGCACCAGCTTGCGTGCTAAAAACGCGGTAATGGAGGGCGAAATTAGCGAGCTTTAGCTCATAAGACACGATTTCAGAGACTTCAAACATATTTTAAGTTCTTCCTTAAAATCATTATGGCTCCATTTAGTCACTATCACATACGGAATCATTACCTGATGCCCATAAACTGAGCCGGTATTCTTGACTTGCCGATGTAATTTATCATCAAATATCATCGTTGCTCGGCAGTCAAACAAGTTCCTATTGATGATTTAATACAAATATCAACTTACTTTCATGTTATCGCATCAAACTTCACTTTATTCTAACATTGGCTCTTCGGCTGTAATAACGAACCCTCACTTGTCAGCAGAATTTAAGCAACCTCTTAAATCAGAACTGGGAAAAGAATATTTTCATGACATTCCTCAAATCCTGTTCTACGAGGTTCACAAAAATTTTCATCAAAATCGGTTACAAGTAAGTAATAAACGACAAAAGTATACAAAAAGACACGCTCCGCCCATAGCCCGCAATGCTAAAATGGCGCCAGCGCCCTCGCCGTCGGGAAATCCGCCGCCGCCGCCAGGTGGTCGGAAAATCGGCGGAGTGTCCCATCCGACCCCCACCGGACACGATTTGGTAGCCGAGGTCTGTGACGTCAGCCGGGCGTGAAGTTTTCCCTTCACTGTAGGCTTAACACACAAACTGGCCGAAGTTCATGCCAGGATAGCCCGGCCTGAAAGTGCAAAAATGATTGAATTTTGACCTCATTAGATTCATTGCTTCATTTTATAACTAACAACGTCCATTATTAGGCCTCAATGAAGGTACAAAGTACTCAAAATCGAAGCTCAAGGAGATGCTGTCCGAGCACAATTTGGTAACATCACGTGACCTCTTTTCAGCAGATTGTATATAATTTAAGAATATAATTACACGATTGCTGACTGAAACATCATAAAGAATACACTTGTAAGATTTATTACTTCTGTTTTAGTCATAACATTGCAAAACGCAAAGTTTATCATGGCAGTCACGTGACCAAAGGTATAGCAGGGGGTTGGGACAAACACTCACAGTATTTCAAGTTTTGTAATTAAATTATATAAGTTTCATGATGAAATTGAAAGATTGTATTTTTTTCCTAACAAAATACAAATTTTCATTTGTAAAATATTTTCCTTATAAGCGAAATTCTCCATATAAGAAACGTCTGTGACGTCACCAGGGCTTTACTCAAAACATCTGACCTACCTGTTTCTTATAGGTATCTTGGTCCCATCCAGGAATACCTAATCCATGATCATGCATTGATGAAGGAACAGATCATCACAGTCACTAAAGGCTGAAACAGACTCTGCATCCAGGAAATCACATGCCAGAGCCTATTCAAACACATTATAATTCTTCTTGTATCATTTACATGCGGGAGGTGCGTGCGATTGATGCGAGTGTGTACCCATTTATTTGAACAGGCTATCACATGCAATTTCCTGACTGCAGAAGGAGTCTGTTTCAGGCATAAGTCTAAGTGCAAGTTATTCTGCAATGTACATACCAAGTGAAGCTCCAATGAGTCCAAAAATGAGCAAAATGTTGACCATGTTCATATTGAAGAAGTTTGATCCTGAAAAGTAAAACAAGCATACCTAAGCCCATAAATTGTCATTCAATCACCATATTCAAATATTTAAATATGACCATGTAACACAACTAACAAACAAGCAGAAAATTCTAAATTATTCTATACAATACCAATCTAAGACAACCTTCTGGGTGAAGATGTCCACCACAACTAAGTTTCAGGACACACCAACAGGTGGTAAGCACCTATGGATGCTGTGCATCACAGAGAATATTCTAAAAAACTTAAATTCAGAGTTGTTCTCAACCAATTACACATGCTGTAGGAGAGGCAAAACAAAAAGCCTAAATTGCTTCTTTTGGATATTGACTAGCCAGCCACCAAATTCAGCATGACCCTGCTGTGCCAATGTTCCTAACTTTGTAAACAAAAGGTATCCACCTCATTGCTGCCATTGAAAAAAAACTGGTGTTTAGTGATCATTACAATTTGCGATTAGGAATGAATCCAAGCAGCAGCACACCATCGATTTATAACAAACTATTGCAAAAGTCAAAACATTCACGATCCTTCTCAACATAACCCAAAGCCCACCACGACGAAAGTTGAAGTTTTATAGAAATTAGCCAGTAAATAGCATACAAATGGTCTTATTGATTGATAGACAAATTATTCAATAGGATAATTTAACAGATTCGAGGTGAAAAAGCACTTATTACCGTTTTAGGTTACAAAACAGTCAAGGGTTATGAGGACGGATAAAAGTCGTTCTTGACTTCAACAGTCAACTTGCTTGATTCGTTCCACCTCGCGTGGTGCCGGGTGCAATATCGTGTTTAATTTAGCTGCGCCAGAAATGTCTCAAGCATCAATAACCCTGAAACGCTAACACACGAGCAGAAACTACACCAATGATAAGCGAGCTGACAGAGCTTGGGCGACTGATTGGATATGTGTTTTCAAGCGCTAGCAGTATCAACACATAACATAAAACAGCAGGAATATCGTGTCAGCAGCTTCTGTGGTACGTTGGTCCTGACGTCACGTAAACGTGGCGTAGAGCGGCGTCTGCATGGCAGAGGCGTTCACAGGCCACTGATTAGGGAGGCAAACTGCCGATGACCAAAGTTCAACCGATATTCTGGCTTGGAAACTGCATAGTGGATACGGTCGTCAAGTTAGATGTAAGTGAATCCTAATCTATAATCTAAGATTCGGAATCAGGCGAGCCCCTACGATTTGGACCAAACTTGGTCAGTGGATAGTACGTAACGTCCTGATTACGATGCACCCAAAATCTAAGCTCGGCCCGCCATATTTACGAAGTTACGGATGTTTGAATTTCAAGGTCATTCGGGAGAGCCCCTACGATTTCCGTCAAAATTTGTGTACGGACACTCTAGATGCTCCTCATTACGAATATCACAAAATTTAAGCTCGGCCCGCCATATTTACGAAGTTACGGAGGTTTGAATTTCAAGGTCATTTGGGTGAGCCCCTGCGATTTCCGTCAAAATTGGTATACGGGCATATTACATCCTCGTCATTACAAATATCATAAAAGTTAAGCTCGGCCCGCCATATTTTTCAAGTTACGGAGTCACAAAGTTACGGAATTTCAAGGTCATTCGGAGAGCCCCTCCGATTTTCGTCAAAATTTGTATGCGGACACATTACATGCTCCTCATTACGAATATCGTAAAAGCTAAGCTCGGCCCGCACTATTTCAAAAGTTACTGACGTTTGAAACTCACTGAAATTCAAACATCTCTAACTTTTGGAATAGTGCGGGCCGAGCTTAGCTTTTACGATATTCGTAATGAGGAGCATGTAATGTGTCCGCATACAAATTTTGACGAAAATCGGAGGGGCTCTCCGAATGACCTTGAAATTCCGTAACTTTGTGACTCCGTAACTTGAAAAATATGGCGGGCCGAGCTTAACTTTTATGATATTTATAATGAGGAGGATGTAATATGTCCGTATACCAATTTTGACGGAAATCGCAGGGGCTCACCCAAATGACCTTGAAATTCAAACCTCCGTTACTTCGTAAATATGGCGGGCCGAGCTTAAATTTTGTAATATTCGTAATGAGGAGCTTCTAGAGTGTCCGTACACAAATTTTGACGGAAATCGTAGGGGCTCTCCCGAATGACCTTGAAATTCAAACATCCGTAACTTCGTAAATATGGCGGGCCGAGCTTAGATTTTGGGTGCATCGTAATCAGGACGTTACGTACTATCCACTGACCAAGTTTGGTCCAAATCGTAGGGGCTCGCCTGATTCCGAATCTTAGATTATAGATTAGGATTCACTTACATCTAACTTGACGACCGTTGGATGGCAAGTACCATGTAACGGAAGTTGGCACAGATTCAGCACAGATTCAGCACAGCACAGATTCGGTAGGGGGAAAAAAGGCCCCGGTAGAGGGAAACCTTTATGACCCGTTTTTCCCTAGAAATGACGTCACAAACGGGTAAAAAACCACACCAATCGAAAGCTTTCGTTTACCCAGACACAGCTGTGCAGGAAAATTTCACTTTTTCCCCATAGGAAAGTTTTTACGGGAAAATCAAAATTTTGGGTCAATGGGGGGTCCCCCCCGATTTCGTTCAAAATCGGCACACAGGTGCCCCACCACCAGCCGAGAAACTTTCCCCAAAACGGTCCCCGTTGCATTGACGTTTAAGGCCCTTAAAGCCCCGTAAACTCGTAAAAAATCCGTAAATTCGCCCTTGTACGGCCAAAAGCAAGTACCTACTACGTGGATTTGAATTGTTTTTTTTTTTCCGGAATGGGACATTTTTAATACCTAGCTGCAGGGCTGGACAATTGTGCCGAGTTGGGGTGGCACGAGTCTTCCCAATTCCACGCCGGTTGCGCCGGCTTGGCTTTGGAGCCGCGCCAGACGGCGGAGGTCAAGGTCACCGCTAGGGCGGTGGCGTATTTGCTGCGCCCGTGCAACCCCCACTTGGTATATTTCTCCACCCCTGCATAGCTGGTAGCTGGGCTATTGATTAGAACAACAATTTCGATTTTGCTAATATTCCCACGAACTGCCGACGTGGGTCCAGAGGCCGGCATTGGCCCTCAGTGATCGGGACCGCGCGGCGCTCGGAAGCCGGCGGGCCCCATCAAAAGGCGATGTGGTTCGCAAAAAAAATGTGTGCGGGCCCTCGTCATAACTGCAGGGGCGTAGCCAAGGGGAGGGGGGGGGGGCACACTGGGCTTAAGCCCCCCCCCTCAAATCTAGCAGGTGCCTTCCACGATCATGGGCGCCTTCTACGATCAAAATGGGCGCCGCGGGCGCATTTTCAGTGTCCAGCACTCTAGCCTTCCAGGCGGTGGGGGGGGGGGATTTTTTGCCCCCCCCCCTTTAGTTTTTTCAATATATCTCGAGAACCGCTGCGCCGATCGTCACCAAACTTTCAGTACCTACCCTCCCGTGAGCAGCTAGCGCACATGGTGACCAAAAATTGTTCCAAAGGCTATGATAGGTTGGCCGCTAATGACGTCAGAGTGACGTCATTTTTGCCATTTTCGACCCAAAAAAAGGTTTCGCGGGAAGAGCTGTCAGGCCTACAGCTTTAGAGATACAGAAAAATGTTTCAGACATAAACGGTGTGGAATCAAAAGGGCTACAAAACTGCTATTTCGGTTTTTCGAATTTTTTTGGATTTTGACCCCCCCCCCCAAAAAATAGATTTTTTGAATATAATTGCCAAAAAATCTAAAAAGTTTTTTGAATTTCGAAAAAAAAAACCGGAATATATGTGATAGTCCCTACCGCCTTCTATCTACATACCAAATTTGAGATCGATACCTCTTTTTTGGCCAAGTTATAGCGAAAAAACTGTTCAAAATTGATGACGTCAAATTTTCAAACTCAGTTTTTAGCAATTCTAGACCACGTAGCGCAAAACAAAGACCACCATTAGACTCCCCGTGACGAGCTGCATCGAATCGATACCCATTTTATGCAAAAATATCAACTTTGAAATTTGACCTTTTTGACCTGACCTTGACCTGACCTCCACCAGAAAGTGACCTAAACCGTACCTGATGGTCTTATAACCAACACCATTGAGTTGGAAATGAAAAACTGGCCATAAAACATGCATCGCATAACCTTAGTAAAGTTGGGCTCATGTGGTGACCCTTGGTGACCTTTGGTGACCTGACCTGTGACCTGACCTGGTATGACCAGTGACCTCTAATAGCAACAAATGTACTAGACAACTGACGCCTTATCGCTGATTTTCGACAAAATGCGTTTTACTCGGTGTTATAGCGCTTTCCCTAGAAGCCCCGTGAACGGTGAAACATTTTATCTTTGACCTGACCTGTGACGTCATCGGTGACCCCGAGGTCAATGAAATTTGGTTTCCTTCGACAAATTTGACAGGGCTATCGAACGCCGTTTGAATTTTCCGGATCCGTCCAGTAGTTTCGGAGATACGGGGGGGGGGCAAAAAATGCCCCCCCCCCCCACCGCGCGGAGGGTGGCTGGTAGGCCCACCGCCTGCCGGGCTAGGCGCCCTCGACGGTACCTAAGCCATTGCGGCACACCATGCGGCACTGGCGCCCAGGTTTACAATTTTATATCTCTGTGTGGGTCGGATGCACCCACAATCCTGAAATGCCGAATATCCACTCCCAATCTCCTGACCAATCTAGCGCCCTCCTCACCTTCAGCGCTCTCCTGGCCTGTCGGCGCCCTCTTCACATTCGGCGCCCTCCGTGCTAACCAGTCAGCGCTCTCAAGGACAATCAGTGATCACACAGCATCCTCCTGATCTGTCTGCGCCCTCCACACATGTCTGCGCCCTCCTGACCTGGCTGCGCCCTCGTTATCGTGTTATAGCACCCAAGATACCATAGCACCCTCCTCACCGTACAGCGCCCTCCTAACCTGTCGTCCTCTTCACTGTATAGCGGCTTCACTGGGCTGCGACGAGTTATTCGCGAAAAACCATGGGGGGGGGGGGGGTCCATCCGACCCTCGCATGTGTAGTCGCATGTGTAGGTCCATCCGACCCCCCCCCCCCCTACACATGCGAGGGTTTAACTTTGGACTCTAAATTCTGCCATAGAACTGGAATTGCGCGATCGGAGGGTAGAGGGCGGGGTCACCGCAACAAGCTTCGCTTAGCAGTGGCCCTGTCCTTGTGAATCCTTCCTATCAAAAGGTTCGGGCTAAATTTATAAATAAAAAAATATATTCGTCTAGGGTGCTCGTTGGGCCGTAAAAGCTCCTGATTTCGGCTAGTCTCAGCTCAGCCTAAGCTACGAAACTGCTATTGCAGTTCAAAACCTATAGTGAACTATTTCCTTTAAAATGTGAAGCGCCTAAGCGACCAGATACCTATGCATCGAAATAGATGCGTCTAAAATAGGATCTTATCATTCTCTGTAGGAATATTTCGATAGACTCGGTAGAGCGCTGGACTCCCGGTAGTGAAAGCCCGGGTTCGAGTCGCTCCGGCGCTCGATATTTGAAACTCCTGACGGGGATGGTCTGGATGGTCTGCGGTTGGTGGGAGCAGCCGCAGCCAGTTGAAAGTCAGTTGAGTGGGACAGGCCGTGTCCGGCTAGGGCACGTTAAACTTTGGCGTCTAAATTCTCCCGTTACCCGGAATTGCGCGATCGGACGGCAGGGGTCAGGGTCTACGCAACAAGCTCTGCTCAGCGTAGGCTCCGGCTCTGTCAATCCGTCCATTCAAACATTCGAGCTAAATTTATAAAAAAAAGATATGGAAGCCAACATGTGCACACCGAACTGCTACTTGGACCTGCATGCCTCTCCCAGTCCCGACAATGACTGGTTAGATAGTTGATGCGTAGTATCAGAGCTGATGTATCTTGTGCCCTCCCGATTCCCGAATTACGGCGTCATCATGTGACAAGACAGCAGCAACAAGTGAGACGCAGCAATAACATTAGTAACCGTGTGTTGTGTAGTGTATTGCCCACATACCCCACTGGTGACCGATATCAATCTTTAACCCTCGCACGACCAGGCCATTTCTCATAACACGAACGACCAGGGGGGGGGGGTTGTTGTTACGACCCCCCCCTGGCGTTTCGAAACGGAAGGTCGTAGAGCTTAGCGGAAAAAACCAACGGATTGCTCTCAACGAGATCTCGCGATTGGTGGTATATTTTTTGGTCCTAGGTCAACATTTGACCTACTTTTGACCGGTCAAAGGTCAAATTTTCGGAAAAAATAGACTTTTTTTTCAACTTTCCGCGGCGATTGCGGCAAAACGGTGAGAGATATCGACTTGAAACCTTCACTATCGTGTTCCTTGATCAATTCTCTATCGTTTGGTATGTATTTCGTTTCCCTAGCTCTAAAAATGGCGCGTTGGGAGCGCCGGAAGTCGGCAAGGTCACAGTCGGCGGCAGAAATTCGAAAAATCAAAATTTAAATTTTTGAAATCTGATTGTATTTTCGGATTTGGGAGGTCCATTTGCTCCCTATAGAAGCTAATATTGCTGCATATTCCCATTGAGGTGACAAGAATTAGCAAAATAGTGGTTCGGGCGCTTTTCAAAAATAGTACCGGACGCTGTTCCTCTTATGACGTCATAACTCCGTGACCTGACCTGACCCGGTCAATTTTCTTGCACCACACGATAGCCAATGCTTGCCCCAACATGCATGGGAAGTTTCATCATGATCCATCAAACAATGTGGGTATCACCGGCAGAAAACCTAGGGATTCGGCGCACACGTTTGGTAACTGTCGGCCGGAGGCTGTACCTCTTATGACGTCATAGCTCCGTGACCTGACATGACCCGATCAATTTTTTTTCGGCAAAAGATGCGCAAAGGTTGCCCCAGAGGGTATTGAAAATTTCAGCCCGCTATGACAAGCCGTTTAGCGTGCACTTCGAAAAAACCTCAGGGGGGGGGGGGTTGATACAACCCCCCCCCCCCCTAGGCGTTCTAGGGTTATCACAATGCCACAATGTAAAGTACACGTAACGCATTTTACCTACATATTACGCAATTAACTAGCTACGGGATTCGCTCGGCATAATCTGGCTGCATACATCAATCGAAAAGAACACTCATAACGTGAAGTGTGTGAAAAGCGATACCACAATACCACAATAACGTGAAGGATTGTATATTTTCTAAGACACATACATAAGAAAAGGCAAGAGCTTGTTCGAAACGAGGATGTCGGATTTTAAGCATTATACGTATTAGACATGATTGTTTAAAAGAGTGCCAAACGAGCTCGCTGTCTTAATTCTAATCACAGCTTAGAACTAACCTATAATAGGTATAAACATGTAAATGGATCTTCTGTCATTCCAACAACGCATCTAAGATGAAGGGCGGGCGAGAGGCAATTTTTAAGTTAAACTTTGTCTCGTCAGCTTTTGATTTATGCATTTGATTTTATACATTGCTTGCCTTTTCCAACATTTTTCTCTTACTTTCTCTAAGTTTTTACATATCGAAGGGAGCATGACAACTTTTACTCGTAAGCCGTTCACCATGTTAGCCGTTCCGTTAGGCGTTTTGAAATAAATTATATAAATCGCAAGCTGTTTCGCGAAACGTGGCCACGGGTAGCAGCCAGGCTTTATATCGACCCGTTGTATAACACAACAGGTACTAAGCAGTAAGCACCCCGAGGGATTGCCAACTGCAAAGGCGATTAAGGTGAAACGCCTTTCCGTAACAGGCGAAAGGTTCACCAAGTGCGAGTGAAATGCTGCATTTACGTAAGGTGTCATATATTGGCTGGCGTCGTACGAATGAATGTCATGTGCATTTTGCATTATTTACACTCAAAGGCACTTGGTATCAGCACCCAAAAGTCACTCAAGACTGGACCCTTAAAGATCTTCACACAAACCGAAGGGATTTGCCTGAAGTTCCAGCTTTCAAGGCATGCGTTAGCAGGCATGTGCAGTAAAATGCTATGTGAAATAGTCTATGTGTGAGTACATATACATGGGGTATCTCAGAGTGTGTTTAGAGTTTCGGCGAGCCGTTTGATCGTGTTCAGCGCGGTATCCACGGGCGTTTATTTTACACGGCAGCACGTTGCACCGAACCAGTTCTGGTCACTGGAGGCCGTGTTGTACTCCAGACGAACAATGCTGGTGGCAGCAGGAAGCTGGGGGCATTTGAACGGCCACCTGTCAGCAGCAGAGGACACATTGTCAGACTCGGAGCTCCAGCCCGAGATTGCATCTCGGAAGGTCTTACTTCTCATCGGATTGATGTTAGTTTCTCATGGAAAGTGGAAACCAAGATTCTTACAGATAGTGGAAGCTGTTCCAAAACATTATCGAAATCATCACTCACTTTGAAAAGTCGGTCAGGTCCTCTTTGGCCACTACCCAGTTCTGTTTGGGATCGGAGACGGTGAGGTCGACGCAGTCCTCCTCGTCTACGCGATATGGTGGCAACACGGGAGCACACAGCATCACCTCTGGATTCCGGAAATACTTGTCCTTGTCTCCGAGGCCGACAAGGACAGAGCCTTGTTCACAGCGTAACGGAAGCTGAGGGTACAACGCCGTCACGATGCGTGGCTTCAATACACATTTGAAGCGTTACTGATTCCCGGTAATAGGCAAATTGAAATTGAAACTCATAGGGATGCTCAAAGAAGAGCACAATGCATGAACATGAAGTGAAGCCTCTGGCGTCTCGACCATCGGCTTCATTTAAATGCAGAACTCACTTGATCCATTGCCACTTGGGTTGCTTTGCCGAGAACCAGGTCGGGCAGGTGGGCGTATTCGGAGCAGAATACCGCATCCAGATTCTGCAATAGACGGGGTTTCAGGCAGCGAGCTTCCATCATATCACATCAAACCAGATATTTGTATTTCTCTAAGCTATGATCGAACAGGTCGAATTTCCATGTATGAGCGGCCGGCCGGCCCCGACCGTGCGGACGCTTTTGCCAGGCTTATATCTCAGCACCACTTGACCGATTTACTTGCGGACATTTTTGTAGGGTACCTTCATTCCTTAAATTCTAGCAAGTATTGAACTATTCCCGATGCATGTGAGTGACCGGTGACCCCTTATGCACATGCCACGTGCAAAGCGAAGAGGTGCCAGTCAGTGGCGGCGGAACACCTTCAATCAAAGGGGGGCACTGCCGACTTTTGGTCCCATTCTTTCCATGCAACGCCCATAGGGCTAATGTTAAAATGCCCAAATCAAAGGGGGGCATGGTGCCCCGGTGTCCTCCCCGTTCCGCCGCCTATGGTGCCAGTTTTGTAACAGTTGCAATATCTCTGGAACTACTCGGCCGATTACGCTGAAAGTTGGCATGTAGGTAGGCACCCACTAGGCAATGCATATCCATGTGCCAGAGTTGGGGTGCTGCTGCACGTGCGCACGTGCAGGGGTCGATTCCAGATCTCGAGCGGCATGGACCGATTGCGCTCAAATTTGGTACACGGTTAGGGACCAGTTGGTGGGTGCCGTGCACAAGTCAGTTGGGACCCATTTTGCACGTGCGCACGTGCAGGGTGCCGCTTCCAGATCTCGAGAACGGCTGGGCCAATTGTGCTCAAATTTGGCACATCGCTAGAGACCAATTACTAATGTGCCGTGCACTTACCCCCGCTGAAAGGGATCCATTACCCCGAAAGGGGCATGTCTCATCAGTTGCCGACCCCTGCACTAGGCAATGCATTTTCATGCGCCACAGTTGGGATGTTGCTGCACGTGCGCACGTGCAGGGGTCGATTCCAGATCTCGAGAATGGCTGAACCGATTGCGGTCAAATTTGGTACACAGTTAGGGACCGGCTAGTAGGATGTCTATTGTCTTGCACAAGTCAGTTGGAGGTACGTACATACACCCTCACAATAGTTCGCACTTGCAAGGCCCACCCTCTCGCTCGCTCCGTTTGTCGCCCGAAAAGGCGTTTTACTGGTGTAGGGCTGGATGAATTATTTCAGAGGGGGAGGGGAGACTAGGCCTTGAGGGGCCCTTAAGGAAAAGGGCCTCCAAGTGTCTCAAAAGGCCCAAAATCATATTACCTTCATTATTCATGCGTTGCTGCACAAAGCAGGCATGTGGAAGGAAAGTATAGCTATTAGCTATAAATGTTATTGTTTAGCTGGGACAGAGACATTCAAGCATAGAAATATTCAAAACACCAGCTTCGTTTATTAGTTATGGGAGCTGTCGAAAGACGTTCGTCTTTCTTCGTCAGCCTGTCTTAGAAAGCACTTAAAACACACACACACATAATACACCAGGTAAAGACAAGATCTTGTCTTATAATCGCGGTGGCAGTCTTATAACAGGTGGTTATAATCGCAGACGGGGTACAATTGCAGTGACCAACCCAGAAATTACAGTGAAAATTCTGAATCGGCACTTGTATTCAGCAGCAAACAGTTCGGTGGTCCTACGAACGGAACTGCTGCTCTCTCCAAGGCCTTCGGTGCGTTTGTCATCGCCTCCGAACACCACAGGACCTTGTCTGTTTTCTTGACATAGTTATGACTTACGAGACGTCCCCGCGTCCCAGTGGCGGTCTCAGTCAACTTCGTCATAGTGGGGGGGGGGGGAGGGGCATATGTCACCGCCCACCTCTAACTCAAAAAACTAAGAGGGCTAGAAAGACGCGGTAAAAAGCAGCCGATAGTTCTCAATGCGTACGCTTGAAAGTATTCAGTCATTTTTCATCTTAGAGCAATATTGGGGTCACCAGAGGTCATCAAAGGTCAAAATTTGCCAAATGTCATTACATTTTTCAGAAAACATGCCGTTATCTCAGGAACTATGATAGCTAAAAAATGAATGGAAAAGCAATCGATAGCTTTTGAACTCTTCTTTTGAGGTCATCATCAAAATTGACGTCCGGTAAATGGTTAAACTTCCATAGGTCAAACATTGTGAAAATAGCTGTTTTTGGATATTTTTTTTTCACGAATAACTTTTGAACCAGCGAAGATGAAGAATTAGCAATGACACTATCGTGTTTCTCTCCTTCGATCGCTTCGAAAAATATATTTTTTACCTGGAAAGGTCAAGGTCAAACTTTGACCTCAGGTCGAGGTCACGTAATCACCCAAATAGGTCATGTTGCATGTCATTCGATGCATCTCGACAAGACCAATACAATTAAGCCACCCCCAGCGTTCTATCTCTTTCCAATCGTTAGTTATTGGGAAAAATCTGGTTGTAGCCTCAAATGACCTCGGATGACCTTTCTAGAGGTTATCAGCAAAAATGACACCTTTGTCGTCACGGGTGGTCCAAATCATTGTGATTCTGAAATATTTGGACTGTTCCTTATTCCTATGCGTACACACGGAACTAGAGGCATTTTCATTTTTCTCCATTGACTTATAACGGAAAGGTTACGCCACTGGCCTGACCTTAGGTCACAGATATAATAAAATCCGAGATATGCAAAGTATAGGTGCCCATAACATCATGCAACCCACCGAATTTAAAACATATCTGACAAACACTGCAGGCTGGGCATGATTGCAAACTTCTTTGGCTTGGTCAGTTAACTTGACCTGGTGACCTGACCTGACATGACCTGGGGTAAAAAAATCACACATTGTCCAAAATTGATGTACAGCAAGCTACTCCAAGCGACGCGGCGCTACGCACCGCGGTTTTTTATTCACACGCGAAAAAAAAACGCGGCAGGGTGGTAACATACATATAGGGGAGAGCGGGGAGAGTTGCATCATGTCCAAGTTGTATCAGGGCGAATTGTGCCAAACTTATCCAATAGATGGCGCTCATGACACGACCAGCCGACGAGGTTTTCCGGGCGCCACCTTTCCCTGTTCTGTCGTGTGGCTGGGTGGACGCGTCTGGAGGTGAGAGCCGATTTTATGTTTTTTTAATGTCATTCTAAAAAAAAATAAGTTGCAAGAAAATGTGTGTTTTGGGCATTTAGATATGCACGAATTTGAAAGATCTTTGTGGCGGCGGTGAGGGTAGGTTCTAAGGCTGCGTGAGTGAAAATGGATTTCTCCAGCTGTCCGCTGTTTTTTAGCACGAGGATGTTTTTTCCAAGATGGCGGCGAGGTACATGTTGTATCAGAGCCGGGTGGGGTATGTTGTAACATGTATGTATGTATGTATGTATGGGTATGTTGCTTTTGATCGCGAAAGCTAAGCCCTGGCTCGCGTTTGTAGGTAGCTAGTCAATACTCGTTCCATTTCGGCACAATGTGTTGGCTTCTTTGCTCTTAATGGGTCACTTTTGAGTCTAGTCTGTTGATGTTTCGTTCGTTTCGATGTTTCGTTCGGATTGACCTAAGCTTGGTCTAATAAAAGTGAAGCCTTTGAGCATATACATTGTATTAACCCCATTTAATGTTGTTGTTATGTCCAAAACCAGTAGCAAGCACGCTCCCTGAAACGTGAACTAGTGATACAAATTACCCCACCATGTGATACAACTCACCCAAGCCATGGGGCAAGTTGTATCAAAAACATTGTTCTATTCGGCAGACCGTAGAAGAAAAACTGGTAGAGGTAGCGGAAAAGTTACTTTGCACAAAAAAGCAGAAGAATCAAGGAAGGAGATAGTATGGAAATAATGAGTTTATCACGGATAGTTACGAGGTTATGGGTCTCGGAGTAAAAACTGATACAACCCACCCCACTCTCCCCTATGCCCCGCCCCCACCCCCCTACCCCCACTGGGGCGAAGGATTTATAGCATAAAATATTATATAAATGACTGATTTACCTTGCATTGTATATCATATTTGGCATGCAACCATAGCAGGCTAGATATGTTGCAAAAATGTTTCATATGTATGATAAAAAATGCATGCAACACACTCTATGCGTCCCAAACGTCCCACTCTTGGTAGTCGCCAGATAAATCCTATATTGGGGATTATTACCTACCAGTATAACGCCTTTTGGGGCGACTAACGGAGCGAGCGAGAGGGTGGGCCTTGCACGTGCGAAATTTCGAGGGGGTACCTCCAACTGACTTGTGCACGGCACCTTACTAACCGGTCTCTAGCGATGTGCCAAATTTGAGCACAATCGGCCCAGCCGTTCTCGAGATCTGGAAGCGGCGCCCTGCACGTGCGCACGTGCAAAATAGGTCCCAACTGACTTGTGCACGGCACCCTGCTAACCGGTCCCTAACCGTGTACCAAATTTGATCGCAATCGGTCGAGCCGTTCTCGAGATCTGGAAACGACCCCTGCACGTGTGCACGTGCAGCAGCACCCCAACTCTGGCACATAGATATGCAGTGCCTAGTGAGTGCCTACCTACATGCCAACTTTCAGCGCAATCGGCCAAGTAGTTACCGAGATATTGCAACAATTACAAAACTGACACCTCTTCGTTTTGCACGTGGCACGTGCATAAGAGGTCACCCACATGCATCGTGAATAGTCCGATACTTGGTAGAAGGAATGAAGCTACCCTACAAAAATTACCGTGTGTAAATCGGTCAAGTGGTTGCTGAGATATTCATATAACCCGCGCCCCGTAGGGGGGGGGGGGGCCGAAACGGCCCCCCTGTCCTTTTCGGTCGATATCTCCTAAACGGCTGAAGCTATCGCCACCAAACTTTCAGGACCCCTCCGGGCATCAATTTTACACATTGTGACCAAAAATTTTTCCAGAGGCTATGACAGGTTGGCCACAAATGACGTCAGAGTGACGTCATGTTCTGTCATTTTCGACCGAAAAAAGACCTTCGCGAGAAGACCTGTCAGGACTACAGCTTTGAAGATACAGAAAAATGATCAAGACATAAAAGGTGTAGAATTGACAGGGCTACAAAACTGCTATCTCGAA